TTTTTTTTACTCGTGCAAATTATGTTGAAAGTCATCACTTTAGCTTATGCGAGGCCTATGTTTGAATTTTCAATTTCGTTATTGATTTTATTTTCAAAGATGACTTAAATGTCAGATTGGCGTGCCCCGTCCTGGAGATGTCGCATCTGTTTACTGTGATCCATCAAAAGCCTTGAAGATGCTAGATTGGAAGGCAGAATTTGGGCTTGATGAAATGAGCCGAGATCTATGGAATTGGCAAAGCCAGAATCCAAATGGTTTTTCTCAGGCGTAACCGATCAAAAGCAAACCTTATTTAGCAGTTTTGCACTAATCTACTGGGAGTTTAATGCTAGAGAACATAATCATAACATAATTTATTGTAGATTAGCATTTATTTATATAATGGAGATTTGTCATTGGTATGTTTTATGTAATGATTTTCATTCCAAGCTTTGATGCCTCATAGAGTGCCAGGCTTTATTATGTTGTATATTTTGCTTTATGGAGATTTATACGATATGGATTAAAGTTTTAACGCCGAGTTTATTGTTAAATCACTGCAGTATCGTCTGTGAATGATATAAATGGAAGTAAAAAGGTAAACCTTCTATGCTTCACATTTCAACAGTGGTTTCATGTGCTGGTGTAATTGCACACCTTTTTTAAAGCTCCTATGCACGCTTTGATCCTCAGCGACATGAGTGCAGCTCTTGACTGTTAGTGATTTTCTAAATAGAAATACGTACTAAACGCTCATCTTACCTTCTGAAAAGTACGTAAGTGCCGTAGAGTTGATGTATATCGACCAGTCATGATATGGATTTGTAGTGGTTAAGTATAGAAGTCAATTCTGTTTGCCAAAGTGTGGAAGAGGCGTGGCATTTGCGCTTCCAATCAGAAGAAAACTGCCTTTTTACTGGAAATAGGTGTTTGTTTCTGAATGTTCTTCAAGCTTTAATTACATTTAGACGGTACTGCCGATTTATTCCGAGAATATGTTGATTATTATGGATTATGTTGCACACATGTTGACAGGGTCACTCCTCATAGACTTACAAAATTGAGGTTCTCATAATAGAAGAAAGTTCCAGAGTTTTCTGTGACTGATGTCATTGAATGTTGGTATCTTGGGGCATGTTGACAGTGGAAAGACTACGTTAACGAGAGCTATGGCTGAAATGGCATCCACAGCTGCATTCGACAAGCATGCGGATAGCGGTGGTAGGAGAAATACGCTTGATTTGGGGTGATTTTCTTTTTGCAATATGAATTCTATTTTCAAACATAGTTGTTGAAACGACAGTTTTAGCGATTGCTTAAATGTTGGCAGCTCCTTTGTTTTATCCTGTTTAAAAACTACAGTGCGATAATTCATTTGTTTATGGTTGGCCTGGGATTCTGCACACACACCCTCACTCATTTTTAAATGCAGAATATCTGCGTGTACTACTATTAAAATACATTTGTAAGCTGCAAACGATAAATCTCTTAAGAACAATTTATGGGCTTACTGCTTACGACTAGCTACTGCCCTTCGTTGACAAACGCTATATAGCTATTTAGCAGTAGCTTTCGTTTCAGTTTCTCGTCTCTTACTGTTTCTGACCATCGACTTGCATTAATTGATTGTCCTGGACATGCCGGTCTCATCAAAGCAGTCCTAGCTGCAAGCAGCGTCTTTGACATGGCAATTGTTGTGAGTAGCTCTCTATGGTTATCTTTTGAAAATCTCTCATCTCCTTTTGTTTTTGCTTATTTCTTTAATAAGATTTTGCTTTTTTTTTTCGCGATCTAGGTTGTTGATGCTTCGTCTGGAATC